ATTCCCCCTGGTTTTTGGCCCCGGGGGAAACTTTCCCCGCCCTTTGGGGGGGGGGGGGTTCAGGGTTTTACCGGTTAGGCCGTCAAAAACGGGGGGATCCCCCCCCCCCCCCCCCCCCCCCTCCCTTGTCCATCGTCACCCCGGCAAGATCAGCCCTCCCACACAAGTATATGAGCCGCGTTTGAGCGCTCATTGTTCTCTTCTGGACCAAATTTAACCTCCACCCCCCACCCCCCCCAACACACCCACCGTTACCCCCGGTCAAAATCAGCCCTTCCACGCGTACGTGATGGGGATCCCGGGGCTCAAGATCTGCACGGCCGCTTCCCCGGAGGCGGCGTACGGGATCACCAAGTCCATGATCCGCGACAACGGGCCGGGCATCCTCTTCTGCCCGGTGAAGATGATGAAGGGCGTCAAGGGGGAGCTCGAGCTGGGCAAGTGCCTGCCGATGAATAAGGCGGCCGTGCTGCACGCTGCTTCGGAAGACGCGGTCGCTAAGGGAACGGTGAGATGCGCTTTTTTTCTCGCACTGCTGTACCTGTTTTTTTTTTTTTTTTTTTTTTTTGGGGGGGGGGAGTTGCGTAGTGCGACGTGTGTTGTGGGTGTTGTGGTTGATGCTTTTTATTTTTCGTAGTGCGAGTTGGTGCTAATAGTTTCTTTCTCGCGTTCATGATTGTGTGCCCGCTTTCTTCTCTACCGCACCTTTTACACTTTTTACGGCGTGCTTCTCCTGCTTTACTGCATCCCGCTCACCCGTCAGTTCGGGCCATGTATGTGGTTATTTTGCGTATGCCTCTGCTGCTGCTGCTGCTGCTGCTGCTACTGATATACTGGTACCGCTGCCTCTGCTGCTGCAACTGCCCTTGCGGCTACTGATGCTGATGCTGATGATGCTGCTTCTCGGTGTTCACGCACCTCACTCCAACTGCGGCTCTTGCAGGCGGTAACGGTTCTGACCTACCTACACGGAGTCAAGGAGGCGCAGGTGAACGAACAAATTTTAACTTCCAAGCGCTTTTGGGAGCATTAAAGAATAGAACAGACTCCGGTTCTAACGTTTCTCCTGTGTCATACCGGCATTTCAAGCGTATCCCGAAGAGTGTGCGATGTAGACTGCCGCCCGGAATCGACGGATGAAAGCGCCTTGTGGGTGTTGTTGCTGTCGCTCGGCCATTTTGCGTAACACCTTGTCTTGTGTTGGCTTGTGTCTCACTTCCGTGGGCAGGACTCGATTGACGCCATCGTGGCGGGCGGCGCGGACATCGACCTCATCGAGCTCCGGACACTGAAGCCGCTCGACTTGGAGACGATTGGGATGTCCCTTCGACGCACGCACAAGGTGTGCTTTTGTCTGTCTGTGTGCACAGTGGCGGTGTGGTTTTTAGAAAATGTACATACAACACACAGAAAGGTAACCGTTCGAGGTATCACCACAGAAGTCGTAGAAGTGTGCCACAGGGTATTCAGATTGAAGTGTAAAAGTGATACCGCGGCAAGGACGGACGCTGGAGACGTTACATGGCCTTCTTCTTCATCGTGTCGAATTTCTCCCTTCGAATCGAACCACAAAGAATGAATGCCACAGAGTTCTACCATGCTCGTGAAAAGACACATAAAAAAAATCTTGAAAAGGGGAAACCCACTCACACACACATTCCCACCATACTCATGAGAAGACGCGTGTGTGTGGGAGTGGGTTTCGTCTTTTCGAAGAGTTGCTGACGTATCTTCTCACGAGCATGGTAGGTACCCCGTGGCATCCATTTCTTTGTTCCTCGCTCCGAAGAGAGTTGAGAAAGTTCGAGATGAAGAAGCCCACTGTTCGTCCTTGGCACCTTATCTGTAGTTTCAACCGCTGTGCCACCTTGTTTTTGTTTTCGGCGGTGAAAATGGCCATTGGCGGTTACATTTATTGCCCCCGCAGCGGTTGAAACTAGTACCATTATTTCGAACCTTTTGCCTAGGAAGTTGCCCGCGCTCCGCTACCACGCACACACCATTAACAAGTAAAGTACGTAACCCTCGTCGTTTTTTCAGGTGGCTATTCTTGACGAGAGCACCCGGTCAGGCGGAGTGGGAGCGTCGATCTCGGCGATAGTGTCGGAGGAGCTATACGACGAGCTTGACGCCCCGGTAAGAGATACTCCAGTACATGTATTCGATTGGTTTGGGGGGGACGGTTGTTTTTGTTTGAGAAGGCGGGTTGACTCCGGTTCCCTCGAAAGATGAGGCGAATTTTGGTAGGAGGACGTGTGTCCGAGGGGGGCGGGTGCTACAGCAGCGGGTGGTGCACCCTGTAATCGTGTAGCCTGTGGTCGACAGCAGAACAGGAGCTTCGATCGCCGTTGTCGCCAGCCTGCTCAAGATGAAGTTGTTTTGTCGTTGAGCTTACTACGTTGGTCTCAGCTCACGGCATGGCTGCCCTTGAGTGGGTGTAGATGCTCCAGCTCTCCACACGCGCGCATCGTTCTCAAATGATGGGTAACGCGTAGGCTGTCGTGGAAATCAGGGGTGTAACGCTGCCTGCTAGTCGGCTGCCATGTGCCTCACCTCTCTCTTCCTGCCGCCCCCTTACTGCCTGCTCGCCTGCCGTTACACCCTACATCTCTTCCCTGCCGCGCCCCCTATTCGCCTGATACGTATGTCTTTCCTCTCTCGATTCCCGCCTGCCCTCTTGCTACGTACCTTACCCTCCCATCCCACCAAACCCAAATTTGTACGTGCGGTGTATGTGTGTACTGTATCCGCAGGTGAGGCGTCTTTGCATGGACGACGCCCCCGTCCCCTACGCGTCCAGCATGGAGAAGGCGGTGGTGAAGCGAGGGGAGGACCTGATCGCCGCCGTCCTCGACCTAGCGAGGAACGCCTGAAGGCCGCGCTAGTAGGAAACCCCGAGTCGAGACGGGGGAGGGGGGGGGGGGGGTGAACCGAAGGCAGGGATGCGTGAAGGCTTGAAAAGCAGGCCGAAACGCGAGCGGTTCGGAACGGAGACGGCTGCGACTGTGAGGAGCTGAAGGGATTTAATCTTGGCGGCGTCGTTTTTCGAGAGAGCTGGGGAGGTGCTACGCGCGGATATGTGCAGCGACGATGGTAGAGCAAGTGAAACGAGTTGTTTGAGGGTAGCGCTTTCAATAGAGGCCGTTCAGGATCATCCCCAAGGGGCCCGTGATGGTGAGAGTTTAGCACCGGAAAACGGGAGTCACATACCATATCTCGGGGCATTCATTCGATTAAAAATCCCTTTGTCCTTGTTCAAGTGCCCGACGGAGGGCACTCTCGTTTGTGGAATGTGTGTGTTTGGAGCATGGCATGTCCATGTTTAGGGTTAGGATTATTTATTACGTTTGGCAGGCGGGTGGAGAGATTTTACTGGGTGGATTCGGTCCAGGAAAAGCGCTTTTTTACAGAAGCGGTAGCGGGAAGCACTGATACATGGGACCGGGTGTTGGTGTTGTTGTTGTTCCGATGTGAAGAGTACGTAGGGGAGTCCGGGCGCAACACACAGGCTGTTGACATTGACACCAACCACCGTGGTTTCGGCTGTACACGTGCCTTACCGGAAGGCCTGGCGCGTCACGGTCGGCCCGGTTTTGGGACCCGGTTTTGGTATCCGGTGTACGAGCTGCTGCGTAGCCAAAGGAGTTTGAGCGTGAGTCTCGAGTTGGTGTTTGGAATGCTCACGGCAGGGGTTTGACCCATGATGAGGAGAGTGCTAACTGTTTTTGGTGTCTTACTTGCTTCGCTTTTCTTGTCCGGTGTTCTTTCGCTGGCGCTCCCGTTCGTGCCGGGGGGGGGGGTGTACTCATAGCCGCGCATGCCGTAGTCGTTAGAACATTGACACGTCGCATCCCTGCAAAGCCGGGACGGAGCACGCAGGGTTTTCGCCGGACCAGTCTATCACATGAACATGCGCGACGCGCCGTGAGGCATTCGCCGCGTCGTATGGCGGGGAGGTAGGCTGACGAGGCTTCATCGCACGCGGTGCCCCATTGAAAATCGAACGGCATGCGCAGCGAGGGGATCCACTGAGCATACACGCTACCCGTGTCCCGGCGCCATGCCTGTACGCTCTTTTTTTTTTTTTTTATGCGGTTGTTGCCTTGTGCCGGTCACTTTTGCGGGGTGGGTGGGTAATGAGCGTAGACGATTCAGAACTATCGTCCCTCTAGGTTTGAGGATCTAAGACTTCATGGTATTAATGGCTCCATCGAGAGAGAGGGGGGGGGGGGGTAGAGTATGCGAGGGAGCGAGAGGAAGGAAAGAGCTACCTGTGGCTGTAGGTTGGAAGTACGCGGGCTTAAGACTAAACTTGAAGCGTTTTCTGCGTGCCTAGGATGAAAAATCCGCGCGTGCTGTGTTTGCGGACAGCTCCCGTTCGCCGCGCACCCGACCGCATTGGTTGTGCACCTCTAGTCGGGGTCGCGTTTGCGTGTCGTACAAGGTGGCTGCATAGAAGGTACGGCTTTCTGAAGGCCCGGCCACTGATAAGAGTGGGCTTGAGGTGATCGTCGGTGGCTGCTAAGAAGGTACGGCTTTCTAATGGCCCTGCCACTGATAAGAGTGAGGGGTGAGGTGATCGTCGGTGGCTGCCAAGCAGGTACGGCTTTCTCATGGGCAATCCACTGATAAGAGTGGGCTTGAGGTGATCGTTGGTGGCTGCAAAGAAGGCTGCTTTCCTTAAAGGCCCGGCCACTATTCAACGCTACGAGTTGGGTTCGGTGGAGTTTATCATTGTAGGTGTCCGTGATACCGGTGTCGGGTCCGGTGCTGCTGTCGAGGGCCTCCTCTCCAGGACCGTGTTCTCAGAAGCGATGAGCCGGGTTTGGTTTTCGTCGCCATGTTAATCTGCTTGGACCGGGGAACAGCAGTCAGTGTTGCAGGACCCTCTTCGAGTGTTGAGAATGTGCTGCAAGAATGTTGTACACCCGGTATTTCGTCGTTCTTAATTGTTTGGTTTTCTTGCCGCCACCTTCGTAGTTTTGGTTCAGTAGGAGAGAGAGAGAGAGAGAGAGAGAGAGAGAGAGAGAGAGAGAGACACACGCACACACTTATGAGACGAGAGAGGATGGAAGAGAGAGAAAGAGAGAGAGAGGGCCTTTCGGAAGCGAAAATAATGCTTCGTATGCTCGAGCGGAGAGACGCATTAGTAGGAGCTCTCTTGCCCTCTCTCTTCTGAAACGGCACTCGAAAGAACGCAACACACACCTGGAGGTTATATCCATTCGCATGCACTCATAAGGCGGGCGATAGCATCGGTCGTCGCGGGCAACGGGAGAATCAACACTGCTTTCGTTCGCCGTGGCATTAACATCTGCCGTTCGTTGCAATCACAAGAGCACCAGGCGCAAGTGCCTCTCCAAACACGTTGACTTGAGGGTGGTTGCATTTTTCGCCATCTGAAGGCTGAAAAGGGGCGAGTGGTTGCAAGCCATGACGTCAAGTGTGTGTCGTCTCGAAAACCTATCGATCCCTCAGGGAAAAAATCGAGAAAAACTCAACAAATTGTTGCATGAACCTAACGAACGCGTGTCGACAACCTCTCGCCTCTACTTCAAGAGAGCGGGGCTTCAAGAGAAACGCTTGACTGAGCAACCAGTGGTGGAAAAAAAAAAACAAAATCGGCGACGGAACGGGGGTACAGGCTAGACCATCTCCTGCGCCACGTGGTCCTTCCAAGCAAACACACGTGATGTGATGACGGCGGTGACTACTGCTGTAGTCACCCAAAAGGAGCACTTTCTTCTCGTCGACTCACACATACACATGAAAACCACGAGGGAGGGAGGGAGGAACAAGGAGGGCCACCAAAGAAAAAAAAAAGTCAAAAATCGTCACCAAGTTTGTTTGCCCTCTCTCCCTTCCTCGATGCAACAAGAAACCTCTCCACTGTCTAAAAACAGTTATTTTTCCAATTGTTTCCAGGGAAAAATATGTTTTTTTCCCCCTGTAAATTATTAGGAGATGGAACAAACATCGTCCGCCGCCGCGTTATCCTCCGCCGGCCGGCGCGAGCGATCCCGCTTGAGCCGCTCCTCTCTCCTCAGCCGCACCCTCTCGATCACGTCGTGTCGCTGCCGCGAAGCGTTGAACTTGTGCCCCCTGCCCACCCCGTACATGGCCTTCTCCTTCTTCTCCTGTCTTCGGAAGTACGCCTGGTGCCTGTTCCCCTCTAAGTCTAACCAATTTGCTTCCCTGCGGGCCGGGGGGGGTTACGTGTCGCGCAAACACGGACAAGACGGAGAGCATGGGACGTGACATTGTATCGTTTCGTGGCAGCGGGGCATCTTGCGTAGAAAATAAAAAAGGGGGGGGAGGGGAGTAGGCATGCATCACGCGGACAAGACAGAGAGAGCAGCAGCAAGGGAAAGTGAAATAGCATTGTTGCGGGGCGGCGGCACCTCCTCTTGCGTGCAACAGCAAAAAATGAAGGAAAAAAAAAGGTGCTTCGCCGGTAAGCATACTTAGCAAACGCCAAACGCGCCCAGGGTTAGCAGTGTTTCGATAGAAAACACAGCTTTGCCAAGGGTGGTGGTCTCCAAGAGAATACACCATGCCTTCACAGACAAAAGACCCTTGCAGGGAGCTACACCGGGAGCAACACCTGCCACCCCAGTGGGACAGAACGCCGACAATACACTTCAGTGCAAATGGTCTCGCTTCCGCCAACTCGTAGGTGTTGGTGTGGGTGCTCTCTGAGAAACCAGACGGGAAGGGACCCGTGGGCACAGGCTTTTCGTCTACGATAGTCATAGTGTATGGACCATGAGGGCTGGCTTTCGTGAAGCTTGGCGTGCGGCAGCAGTGGCAAAGACCCGCCGACCCCACCAACAGACACCAATACCACAGCTGTGGGGTTGGAATAATCCTGTTTTTTGTTTGCTTTCTTAAAGTAAGTGGGGGCTGCCTCCGTCATGATGTCATGCCAATGATCGACTCGGCCGTTCATTGTGGCTGTGTGTCTAGAGAGGAAGGGGAAAACAGGGGGTGTCCAATACAGTGGCGGCTACGGTTCAAGAGAGGGTCGTGACAAGCCAACATTTCTCTCTTAAATCCGGTTTTCTCTTAAACCGCACTGTGAAAATGCATGTCTTTCTCATGGTCGTGACAAGCCAGTGTGACTGTTTATTAATATCTTAAATCGGTACTTTCTCGTAAGCAGTCTCTCTTAAACCGTAGCCACCACTACTGTACAGCAGTAGTGTTAATAGTTTACTAGTACTCACTGCACAAACGCCTCCTTCTGGACAGCGTCCACACCGTAGTGCCAGGCCTTCCACTCGCCCTCGTTGTGGATCTTCATCCCCGGCGGCGGCTTCGCCGTGTACAGCGGCTGCTGAGCCTTGGTCTTTTTCGCCGCGTCCGCCCATCTGCCGAGAGTGAGAGTGAGAGAGGGAGAGAGGGGGAGAGAGAGAGAGAGAGAGAGGTGAAAAGGGAGAGAGGGACGGGGGGGGGGGGTGTTTCGTCGTTTATCTCGGACTGGTGTTTGTGATTTTTGCTGCGAAAGTTGGTGGTTCCCCTTGACCTGAAACACACTCATGACACGCATCTCCGCGTTAAAGGGGCTGATGCTCTGAACAAGGTTCCTAGATCGTGCACGGGATGTATCCAAAATACTACAAGCCTCGAGCGCTCCACCGCACGCCACAGCCAGGCGAATGCTTTGGGGGGCTCCTGCTGCTCGGCATGGTGGGGGAACACCTCGTGTTGATGCCAACCGCACTAAAGGCCCACCGCGTGCCTCGCAAACGCCACAGCAAAGTGCTGCTCCGATACCCTTTCTATGGTCAATCATCGACTGTTGTTATTGTTCGCCGCATTCCCTCGGCTCAGATTGCTCACTGAGCACAACCGCGTAAAGTTTAAGTTTCCGAGTGGAGCCTGGAACATCTAGGGGGGGTACATACATCATCCCTACGCCGCCCCCCGTCCTCTCGAGCACGCGTGGTCGATGGTCTAACCGCCAAGGCATGGAAAACATGAGAGTACGCCGCCCCCCCCCCCCCCCCCCCTCCCGGGGTCTTTGGTGCTACC